AACTTTTTCCGGTGCAGCCTTAAAGCGACAACTCGCAGTGAATTCCCGAAGATACTTACACGCACGACTTGCAATAGTCCAATTCAAGCGGTCCGAAAAAATAAATGGCCAACGCACCGACTGCCAGTGAGGAGATGCGTTTCTTGCATAGTTCCCCGCAGGTTTTTATCGCTAACGGCACCGGTTTTTCCGGCAAATGCTTCTAGCTTAGATAATTGAGACGGGCCACCAGGACTGTCTGAAAACATCCCCTTAAAATTTCAGCTTTCTAGCTTTTCTAATTTCCGAGTTAGCAACTTACTCGTAAAAAACTTTCATGGGCCCGTACATAGAAACCACATATACCCGTCGATTGGGCGTGAAGTCATTAAGACCTACATGGACGGGGAATAACCCCTTAAAATTCCAACCTTCTAGCTTTTCAGGTTCCCGAGTTAGCAACTTACTCGAAAAAGATTTTAGCGAGTCTGCACTTGGGTACCACACGGGCAGGAGCGCTCATTTTGGAGATGGGCGCCCGCAAGAAGCATGCAGATTAAGTTCCTAAAGTTTCAGTCCTGTAGCTTTTATGGATCTCGACATGAAAAAACTGTGCAGACATGCACCGCGCGCGCGTGGCGCACACACACACACACACACACACACACACACGCACACACAGAGGCAACCTCTCGTCAATATGCGTTTTCTGTATTGCATAGATGCAAAAAACGCAAAAAAAATGCTCAATTCGATGACCACCGGTTTTCATTTTGAGCGTATTTTTCTTCGCTAAACCAGAAAAACCATGATTACTGCAATAAAACAGCTTAAATTTACGCCATTAAACACTGGAAAGCGCTGCAAATATTGGGAGTACTAAGTAGACAACCTATCTGATTTAGTGTTTGGAGTTTTACACAATTATGACTTCAGGTGGCAACATTTGAGTTCTGCGCAAGTCTGATTTCGCATGTTTCACGAGTAATTACTAGAACTCGGCTGAGCCGAGAGAAATCTACGTAGATTTGGGTAAAAGTTGCGAAAATCGAACTCGTACATAAGTGCCGCGCCTTTTTTTCCGATGAGATTCTGGATAGCAAGTACACGCTTACTAGCTTTAATTGAGTGTTTAGTTTTTTGCTTACTTAGCACTGCATATAATTATCCCTTCAGGCTAGTCAGGCTGAGTCCGAACTCATAACAAAAATTGAGCTCGGCCTGAATTGGGTCTAGGCAAGCCAAGTTTTAATAAATGGACTCCTGCGCCTTACTGAAGACTTTACCATCTACTGAGTGGGGGGTTAAATTTACCACTTTTACTGCCTAGCAAGAATTATTCGAAGATTTGATTACCCATTCGGTGCCAGCAGTTCCCTGCTCGACGCCGAACAAACCCTGTGAATCGACGGTTGCATTGATGACAAACTGTGTAAGCACTTGTTGCTGCTCGCATGCCCGCACTGACGTATTATCGAGATTTTCAGTCCCTGAAGAAAAGCACAGTGCATGAAAGTGCGATACATCGAAAAATTGTTGGAAAACTTCAATTTTATGAGCTATATGACTTAATGGACCGAAACATTCCTGTTCATCTGATTTTTTTTTAGATGTAATTTTGTATTTTTTACATGTATCATCACCACTAATATTTCCATTAAAACTATTGTTAAATTCATCTTGACCCTATTTTCCCACTTTTTTTTGCATTTTTATAAGTATTTAATGGGCCTGTAACTGTACATATCAATCTGTCCAGTAATTCAGCTCCATAATGATGCAAGCTAGAAAACTGTAATTTTGGTACCACAGCGACGAGCTGTGTGTGCAAACTCAATTTTTATGTCCCCCTTCATCATGGCATACCGAAAGATTAATTTCTAGTACACTACTGAAGAAAGAACTTGCATAACTCAACTGAAACATGAATGGTGACCATGTAAATGAACTTTTTTGTTCCCGTGAAAATTTTGCATTGAAAAAGTAACCGAGAGACAGGCAACTGCTTTCTCAGTTCAAAATCTAATGGCGAACAAAAAATCCGGAATTTCGCCACACTTGACTGCGAAGTCATCAGTGCTCGGAGAAAGCAAAAACACAAGGGACAGGACTGCATCGACTTTTAAATGAGTGTTCCTCTCCGCCCAAGCAAAAATTATGATCCGCAGGGAAATGTTCGTGACGTGAAGCAGATTTGGATATCCTACTTTTTTAGGTGGATATTCTACTCTTTCAAGAAATCATTTTTTCGTTTTTCTCCTTCCTTCCCCTGCTATCATGATTTTCATAACTTTCTCCATCAATCCGAAAACCAAACTGTTTGCGCGAGCGAGTCGAGCTTTAGTAGTTGCTCAGAACGGCTATTTCGTGAGTTTGGTCCGCTGTGTTGCTTCTTGCTTCAGGTCAGGTCACCTGTGACAAGTTCACTGTTGCCCTGGCCTAATATTAATGAGTGCCTTTTTGGACCACGCCTTCAATTCCGGATAAATTTTTGCAGTTTTTCGAACAGGGAGTAATGCTAAGTTGAGCTTTGCTGGGAAAACTAATGTTCCCAGCAAGGCTGAATGTAAGTGTGATCGTACACCGGCCATGAGCATCTTTTTTTGACCAGTAGCTTTTGAGACTATCATCATTCTCGTCTTATCTGATTGAAAGTTGTCGGCGATAAGACTCGCGCGTATGTGTGTGTACGTGCGTGTATGTATGTGTGTGCGTGTGTGTGTATATGTTTGTGTGCTCCAAACATCTCTAAAGCTGTAGGGAGGGTTTGAAGACTAGCGAGAAGGATGTTGTTCCTATGGAAGTACAGATTGTAAAATGATTTAATTCCCCCTTTATTCCTTTTTGTCAGGGGGTTGTTAAGGTTTCGGAAGAGGGGTGGACTGTAAGAAAGGAGTGGGAGAGAGAGGAGGGAAGGGTGCGGGGAGGAAATCTGGCCAGCTCCTTCGCAGAACCGGTTTTTAAATGGGTAAGATATGAAAACGGATCAACTCCCCGGCTTTGCTGTTTCCATAACGGTTTTCACAGTGCTTTTTGACGGCTTAAATGCGGTGTAACCTACGCAAGATCTCTCCTCCACTGGTGTTCGCGTCGGATAAAAAGTTCTGCACGGGAACCCCCAATACTTCGTGATCACCTAAATTAAAAGAAATGAGATTACCAACGCAGCTCACTTTTGCAAAAGACAAAAAATCACATTTGCGTAGCACGCTCCTGAGCCAGTAACTGGGCAGCCAATAACTCGCCAAGCACTCTAGGAAACTTGCTGCAAAAATGCATGGTCATGTTGGCGCCTGGCTGCGCCACTATCTGCTATAAATAGCTTGCTAGAATAGCTTACGACCCATCCACTCAAAGACGGTATTCGGCTCAGTGTGCTGCAGCAGATCAAGGACTCGATTCTGCGGGCACTTGAGTTATCAGCCACAAAAAGTCCCCGCCACCAAGCCAGATCTTCATGAAATTGCTGCAACTCCAATTTAAGCCTGGTCAAATGCGAAAAATTCATTCACATTTATCATTCGATGTGTTTGAACTCGCCCTTTGACTCAGTGCAGCATAACACACTAATACACTCGTGCACTAATCAGAAAAAAGATTGCGTGCACTTCTAGGCAATCACTAATATATCCAGAGGTATAGGACAACGGGATGGAAGCTTCTTTATGGACCAAGAGACCGGCAAATTTAAATTTTTGAGAAAAATTAATAAGTAAAAGTGAGAAGTTACTTTTTGCAAGGCACTGGGGATTTTTGTTGGTGTGATCATGCTCGCCGCTCGCAAAAAGACACATTTTGGTGGACGAGAAGATCATCGCGTACATACGAAAGTTGCAATTTGTACGCCTCCAGTTGTTGCACCGATAAAATACCTTGATCCCGTTGGCCTGCGTAACGCTCTTCCGCTTCGACACCTTCTCCTGTTTGCGCACCTCGTTCATCTCATCGCACGACGTGTACCAGCCGTAGCAACGCCACTCCCGTTTCATTTTACGAAGCACTGGAATTCAGTAAAATTGTGAAGTTTTTCTTTTGTGTTTTCCCCCCTCTCATGAGCAAATTTCTTCGCTCCAGACCGATGGCACATTCTCGATTCAAGCAAACAAAAATAACTACAAAATTGATAATTATCACAAACGTATAGAAAAATTGTCAAACTAAATGAGTGAGGGAAACGAGACCGCAACTGAAGTTAAACCAAACTAAGCGCAAAAGTTTTTTTTTTCTTTTTTTCTTAATTTATACGACTTATTTTTCATGCAATCTATTGAACTGGAACATTCCTTTTCAGCTGCTTTTCCTCCCTATCATGCCACCTTTTATAAATTTTTCATGTAATAAATTCCTCGCACTTACTATTACCTTTGATAAACCTCAGTTCAATCCTCACTGTTTTTGTCTGCCAGCACCCCCAAAAATCACTCTTCATGTTTCCGAAGCGGAACAGAAAACCAAGGCTGCAACACACCGGGCTTGCCAGTGCAATCATGCTTTTTTTGCGCTAAATTTGCTGATCGCTAACAGCAAGAATGGTTCTTGCGCTATACACTTGGACTCATGTTGGCTGTGTCTTGGCCTTTTCTCGCATTCACAGAGAAGAGCGTCGGCTGGGATGAAGGTGTTGCATTATGGGGTCGCATGGACCTCAGCATGCTTGATTATCAGTTTTTTGCATGAAGCCCGGTAATTCTTACTAATCAGTGCTCATTCACTGAAAAAGTGCAAATTTGAAGACACAAGAGGATTTTGAAATCTGTAAAATGCATTCGTTTTTGAGTTTGCGATAAAACTGACTATTTGGCATGTCTGCGTGCAGGAAATTTCACTTCCAGTCCGCACTAAGATCACATATCCTTGCAAAATTTCAACTTCACAGCTTGTCTGGTAAGCGAAATAACCACTTCGCCACAAATATCTTTGAAGTGCCCTAGGTCGTGGTGCAAATGCAAGTCGAAGCTCACTTGGCTATAATACTTTCGATATGAACAACAAATATTCCGATAAAATTTCAGCTACTGTTTTCCGGTTAGTTTTCGAGTTAACATGGTGACACCAGCGAATTCTGACGTGACCGTACGCGCGGTATAGGTTTGTGCAATAGATGAATTTAAAATTTCTAGCTCATATATGCAGAGAGAATACCCCTGCAAAGTTTCAGCCTTTTATCTTGTCTAGTTCACGAAATCGTTTACCGCCGAAGAAATGTGCATATATTTTTCGGGTATCCGTACGCGAGATCTAGAAGCGTACGTGCGAAGATTTTAAAACGGGAGGGTGACACATGGGACGGGTATATGACCCCAAAATGTCAGCCTCCCAGCTTTACTGGCTGCTGAGTTGAAAGTGGGTGACAAAGTTCACTCGCTCCCGGACACACATACATACACACAAGGACGACCACTCGACAATTTTGCTCACTGTAGCAGCGCTATAGCGCCGCACGACGGAAACGCATAAAAAGATATGTGCAGTAGAATCAGTTTTCTGCTCATGTCACTAGGGGGAAATCCGGTTCGGATTTGACCATGAATTTGTGTAATAAAAATTTTAATGACCAAAAAATGCCTTACAAGGGTAACTAAAGAATTCAGGATTTGTAACAATATCAGCGGTGGCAGCAGCAGTAACAGTAGCAGTAGCAGTTTCACCAGGCAGTTCACCAGTATCCGCTGGCTGTACGGAATCAGGGGAGACGAAAGGCCGATGTTCAACGAGGTTCGATTCTGGACGATGAATGTGCTTTATACCAGAGGCCAAAGCTTCATCGAACACTTCGTCGCACAGTAAATCCACAGAAATCGTATTTTTGTGCTGTATGGGAGCCGACTCGGCGGATACTGGACACGGGAAGATGCTGGACTGCAAGCTGGTCACCTCAGCCGTCGCTACTGTGCCTGTCATTTCATCCTGCTTGTTGTACAACAACATCAAAAAGTTCAACTTAACATCAACTACTCAAGCAAGCACAACATGGAGAGAAGAAGCCACAGCGCCCCAACCGCAGAATTCCCGCGATTCCCTTTTATCCCGTCATAGTACCAGAACTGCAGCACCTCCAAGTACCTATTACATAGGGGCCATGTGTAAAAACATCCCTCACTCTCGAGCCTAAACTTTGCTCAGATACGTACCGAACACACTTATGCCGTGGTACAGCGGATTCCAACTAATAAATAAACAAACAAACAAACACACACACATATAACACTCGCATTTATATATATATATATATAT